GTTGTTGTTGTTGTTGTTGTTGTTGTTGTTGTTGTTGTTGTTGTTGTCTTCTCATTTCAGGTCCATCTTCTCTTCAGATATCATTGATCTCATGTGCCGAAGCTTCTTGGTCTTCTCAAGACTCGTCTTGCTGGACGACACGGCACGCTCCACCGAGGTGGACTGAGATCCACATCGTCCTGAGGCGGACTTCCTCAGCTTCTCACCTTAGCACCATCGATCCGTTTGCGCGTTCGCGCGTTCAGGGACACGGTCGTGTCCTCCATCGTCCGGTCATCCGACACGGTCGTGTCCTCCGAGCAGAGAAGGTCAAGCATCCACATTCCACCACTTAACCCAGGTTGGAGAATGCAGCCTGAAAAGAGATCGCCAATGGCGTTCAGCTATGTCGAGATCTGAGATCATGGACTGACTGGTGCAACGCGTAAGGAATAAGGGAATGGGCCCACCAATAGGGATTGAATTGGATTCGGCCACCATGCCACCCTCATTCCCTATGGTCGGAACGTGGGGACATGCCTGGCTTGAGGTTAGCCAAGCATTCAGAAGAGTTTCATGATGACCACGTGAATTTCTGTGGCACCATATCCCACCTAAGTGGCCACAAAGCAGGACCTCCGGGTGCTTCATAATAGGCACCTCTAAGATCCTCTAAGAAACCTATATAGTTATTCATCAACACCCCCGATTCACGGGCCTCCTATAGAACGGATATGAATGGATTTTTTCTCTTTTCTGGCGCGAAGAAAACGTCAGTCTCCAGGGTGAAACGGCCCCACGACCCCTCAGGGGCCGAAGAACGACGAAAAGCACTACGGCGCCCAAAAGTCACCGCGTCGACGCTCTGGCTGGCGACCCACGTGGCTTCGACACTTGCTATGTTTGGCTCAAAATCCTCTCCCACCTTGGATTTGCTGGTCCAGGAGCTCCAAAAAAAGGTATGGCAAAAAGAAAAAGACATTCACCAGAAGGAGATTAACAATATAGGGAAAGTAAACATCACCCTAAGCAAAACCAGGCCACTCACATTGGTCCGGTCAGTGTCTGGGCACTTCGAAACTGGCCGTCTTGCATTTTGCAGAACCAGCACGTCAGTTCCGATGTCGAACGGATTCGACCAATCCTTTCACCTTCCCCTGGACAAAGCTCACCAAGCTGCTGCTGGATTGGGTTCCATCATCTGGATCTGGGACCGACTTGCTTGCCATGAGCATCGCCGTTCGTGAGTGTTCCATCCTGCTCGCATTGCTCGCATTGCTCGCATTGTTCGCATGGTTCGGCGTCCCATCCGCCATGAGCATCGCGGTGCGCTGCCGGCGGGTCTGCTTGGCCCCGGGGCTTTCGAGCTTCTCGCGCCCGGATTTGTTGCTCTTGGTGCTCTTTGGAGTGCCTTCCAACATGGCGGATCGATAGCGGGGCACTTGACGCCTTGGCGGCAGTGGTCGTGGCGGCCGTGTTAGTCTGGCACGTCGCAAAACAATGGGGTCACATCGGGGTTCTTCGATGCTTGGGGGAAGCGACATCTTGAGGAGGCATCCCAAATCCAGCCACAAATATGTGTGAGACCCACCGCGCCACTTGCAACACACATCTCTACCATCAATGCCCCTTTCACGCTGGAAAATGCAAAGCTATCATAAGCTATTCTACTGTTGTTCTTTCCCAAATCCAATCCAAAAGCGGCCGCCCCTCCGAACCCGTCCACTCCGAAAAAAAAAATAGATTCTCTCTCTCCAAGAGGCCCTGGGCTCCTCAAGTCTTTGGGGCTTCTCTCACCTTGGATTTGTGGAACAAGCATTAACCCATGTTTACCCAGAAGAAAATTCACTGCACAAGGAAAACAACAGTAAATGAAACCTCGCCCTACGCAATCGCCGGATCGCCATAGCCCTCGTGCCCACGCACCGCCGTGCTCGGAAGCACCGGTCCAGGCATGATCGAGACGCGCGGGAGACCGGTGAGCGCGGCTCGTTTCGAGCCGATCTCGCTGCGGAGGAGGGAGCAGCGGTCCAGGCATGATCCGTGCTGCTCCAAACTTGACATCTCAATGAAGTATATGTATCTATGTATATTGTGAAGTAAATATATGTATCATATCATATTGTCAAGTAAATATATGTATATTGTCATATGTATCATATGAATCATGAACATGTATATATATATATATATTGTTATGTTCTTCATGCACCATGCAATGCAATGCACATCAATATGTTGACACATTGTATAAGGGTCACCAGGACTGTCTTGAGTCCTGGTGAGCTGACCAACTGATGAGAATGCTGCACCAACTCATGTTTCGTTCCCATGATGATACCTGCAGCAGTTGAGCGTGCACCGTTTTTTGAAGGTCGCGGGTGCGTCGCGTCTTCATCTGCTGGGGCAGACGGTTGTTGGGGGCCCACCAGGGTCACAGGTAAGGATGCATGATCCTTTCAGGAGTGTTAGAGGAATCCGAATCCGTGCATGTCATTGTATGTGTCATACCCCGGGAACAACAAATGTTGTACATGCGGTTGCTGGCTGAGAGAAGTCACAGAAGTGGCATGCTAAGGCCTAAGAATCTCTCTTGCCGCTTTGACGTTTGCAAACAACACCTCCGCCAAGAATTCCCAGAAAGGTTGTCAAAAATGAGGATCCTAAAGCTTAGCCATTTTACCTCAAGAAAAGGGGGGTGTTGGGGAGAGGAAAGGGGAGTTTTAATGTGTCACACGGATGCCGTAATAGGTCTCAATCTTCCTGTTTGGTCCCCATGCCGACGGGGCTGTCCACCTCCCCTTCGCTTGGCGAGGGATGGTGCTTGGCACTTTGGAGCGGGCTCCAGCTCCCAGAAAACGTCCGGCTGTGGGTGGCGATCGGTTGTTCAAAGGGGACATGGGAGTGGGAAGTTTGTGCTAGCAATTAAGTGCTGGAAGTTTGAAGCCTGAGAAGAACTAGGCTACGAGGTTGCCAGCCCAAGGAAGCACTATAAGGGAAACTATTCCACAAAGCGAGATGCTTTTGGGTTCTATCATTGGCTGTTGTCGCCACATGCCAAGTTGACAAGGACCTGGAACAAAGCCGGAAATACCTGCAGCTTCCCTGGAGGCACCTGAAGCCTGAAGCATCCCGGAAGACACCTGGAGCTTCCTCCGATAGTAGGTTTAGGTTGGAGGCCATCGCTCTTCGGTTGGAGGCCATCGCTACCAGGTTGGAGGCCATCGCTACCAGGTTGGAGGCCATCGCTCTTAGGTTGGAGGCCATCGCTACCAGGTTGGAGGCCATCGCTCTTAGGTTGGAGGCCATCACTACCAGGTTGGAGGCCATCGCTCTTAGGTTGGAGGCCACCACTACCAGGTTGGAGGCCATCGCTCTTAGGTTGGAGGCCATCGCTCTTAGGT